ATGCCTTAACTGTTTATTGATTTCTAACTACGTTGTGTACAGATCTATTTGTACTTTAGTTTTTTGTTGTTTTGAAATATGATGTAGAAAAAGTAGTCCACGTTTATGAATAAGCACGCACCTGTGCAACGAGTTTTGTACTGATGTATTTGGAGTTTGTGATAATGATATGTATGCATCGTCCTATTCCATGTTCAAGCTCATTTGTGGTGACCAAGAAAATTGTTATTTATTTTGTATATGCGCATTTTTTTCTCTCCATCTGTTGCTGAAATGGATAGTTCGAACTATCTTTGTGCATTGAATGGAATATTTATTTTGTATTTACAAGACTACTTTCGCGTTTTGTTTAGCGTTAGTGTACGATGATTTTGTTACACCTCAATGTCCAATTACGCAGCTGAACAGGCGAGGCTGCACTCATTCTACCGGAACATCGAATCTTTTACCCATCCTACCGTTAACACCTGATGATACCCTACTCACAATAACCTTCACAGGCGATTACCGGGTATCAACGCAGTGCCGCGAACGGATTGTGGGACAGTCCAACGGGGCGGAAACTGTAACACTGAATTTTGCAGATGTGTACACGGAATGTGGGTACGACCACCTATACTTGTACGATGGAGATTCGGTACACGCTCCGCTGGTGGCCTCGTTCAATGGCTATCCACCCGATCGTAGGGTGACATTGACGAATGGTGTCGCGTTGCTCAGGTTTACCTCCGACGTGGCACAGGTGAAGGACGGCTACAATGTGACGTTTTCATTCAGGTACTTCGCGAATACGCCTGTATCACCTGGTGCGATACTCGTCGAGTTTTGATGATCGTTTTCCTTTACTTACAATTAAGGTTCGGGTTGTTTGCCTCTAACAAAGCTGCAACCCTGTGATTTTGTCCGTAGAATGCTCGGGATCTGTCATAGCATCACTAGTCGATGTTCTCCCTTTTTAGTATTCTTTTGACCTTACACCGAATTGGATATATGCCTCACCACTCAATATCGCTGTACACTCAAGAAGCCGCTCTTTCCCATCTTCGCAGTGCCTGCCCGAACGATTGCTCCGGCAACGGTGCTTGCACAGGCACCACTTGCGAGTGCACAAACAATATGACTGGCGCCGATTGCAGTATAGAACTATGTCCCGGAAAATGCAGTGGATACGGAGAGTGCGGAGAGTCCGGCTGTGTATGCGACGCGACACGTACGGGATTGGATTGTACCCAGGTTGCAACTCAGAGTCGGTGGTCGTTTGTGAGTTCTCCGGATGGACCGAGGAATGCAGTGTTTAATTCCTCACAGCTTGCTTTGCGGACTGCGCATGCAAGCGCTGTGATTGACCTACCCGCTACCAGTAGCATGTGGACCTTCGGAGGTTTAGCGGCCGGGTTTCTGAACTCCAACGCGCTGGCGTATTTCGATCCGGATCTGGAAGAGTGGATTGAGGTGATCTCAAACAAGTATGTGAACGTGTTGGTGATACGATCACTATCTTGAACTGTTTTCTATATGGTAGAAATATCTATGATACCAAGTCACTATATGGCTACTCGCGAGCAGAGCGTACATCGCAATGAAACATTCACTTAATGGATTATGCCCGGGAATGAGTTGAATTTGCCAATAGAAGTGCTCTAACGACTACGCATACTTCATGAGCGCTTAGTCAAAAATACTATAATTAGGACCCATTCGCTGCAGACGATAAATTAAAATCTCGATTCTCAAATAAAACAACTTTCCGATTCTTCTATAGTACCGGGCCGAGCCCTCGGCACTCCCACACGATGGTGGGCACGCCCAATAACACACTGTGGGTCTTTGGGGGAACTAGGGATGCCAAAGAGACCTTATCGGACTTGTGGGAATATACTGTCTCGTCAAATATGTGGACACAATTAGCGGACGCGCCGTTTGCTATCAGTAGGCATGTGGCGGAATTCCGTACGGTCAAAGACACTATGGTGGCGCTTATGGGGTACACACCGCAGTTACAATTCACGTATGTTATACTGGAGTATACGCGCCGTAACGACAGCTGGGTCGAGCATAAGAATATCACCGGTCCGTTGGTCATTGGTAAGAGAGAATACACACACACACACACACACACACACACACACACACACACACACACACACACACACACACACACACACACACACACACACACACACACACACACACACACACACACACACACACACACACACACACACACACACACACACACACACACACACACACACACACACACACACACACACACACACACACACACACACACACAC